CAACGGTTTCGGTTTAACCAACAAAATTGATCCCTCTTAAGTCTATTAACCACGACCGTGCATTAATAAACCGAAGTTACTTACTTGTGAAACCACCAACGATTAACCATCGGTTCGTTGATCGTTTCTAGTAGTAATTATAGTCGGAACGTTAACTAATCGTCACTTAGCAACCCTCCAACATTAATATAGAATGAGATTGAGGGAAGAATTAATAATTAAGAGAAGAAGTTAAGAAAATAACTCACAACTTTAATAATCAACAAGCTTCAAGAGCAAAACCAAGAATGGAAGTTTAGCTCCTCATTTGGAGACTAAACATAGCTAGAAAAATATAAAGAAATGATATTCTAAACTGAGCTAAAGAGAATGGAAGAAGGGATGATTTTTTGTGAAGAAAAAGTGTGCTATTTATAGGTGTTTTTCAACACCTTTGGCCGGGCTCGACCGGGTTTAGTGCTTACCCGACCGGGTACCGGTCAAAATCAGATTATCTCCCACGTTTTTGTGTTTCAGCACGTTAAAATGTCCCGGGTCAAGTCAGACCCGACCGGGTCAAGTAGGGGACCCGACCGGGTTTGACTCAAAAATCAGATATTCTTTATTCGGGCGATCTTTGGCACGTTCTGGTGTTCCGGGTCACATCCGAACCGACCGGGTCAAGTAGGGGACCCGACCGGGTCTAGCTATTTTCTCAAGGATCTAGTCCTCAACTCAGACCCGACCGGGTGTAGCGCATGACCCGACCGGGTTAGCGCTCCTGGCCATTTTTATCTTCAGCTTTTCTCCTTTTCCTTGCTAAAAACACTACTACTATTCTACAACTATAAATGAAAGCAAAAGACAATTACAAACAACATAAAATAATTGTTTACAAACTAACTAAAGAGGAAAGAAAATCCACACAAAGTTAATACAAAAACATACATTTATGCACTATAAACTAGTGCATATCAGCATGTTCCTCTTGCCTCTCATTTTGTGCTAAGTAAGAATCAGTCTCCTAAGACTGCTTCTGAAATTGAGCTTTTGAAGTCTGTTCCTTACTCTAATGCTATAGGTTCTGTGATGTATCTGATGGTTAGTTCTAGACCTGATATTGTCTATGTTGTGAGTTGTTTGAGTAGGTTTATGTCTAATCCTGGTATGCCTCATTGGAATGCTTTGAAATGGCTTTTGAGATACTTGAAATTTTCTGCAAATCATGGTTTCATTTTAACTAAGTGTTCTGAAGGTGTGAAACTGAGTGGTTATGTTGATTCTAACTATGCTAATGATAAAGACAATAGGAAATCTACCACTTCCTATGTGTTCACTTTGTGTGGCTCTTGTATTAGTTGGAAATCTCAGTTACAACCTATTGTTTCTTTATCAACCACTGAAGCTGAGTATGTTGCAGCTACAGAAGCCTTCAAGGAAACCATCTGGTTAAGACATCTTGTTACTGAAATAGGTTTTCTTAAACAGGATGTTACTGTGTTTTCTGATAGCCAGTCTGCTATCCAGCTTTGCAAAACCCCTTTTTTTCATGATAGAACCAAACACATTGATGTGAGGTTCCACTTTATTCGTGATGTTTTAGATGCAGGTAAGGTAAAGCTGTGCAAGATACCCTCAGAGTTCAACCCTGCAGATATGGGGACGAAGTGTCTATCTGCGGAAAAATTATTGTCTTGTAAACGAATTTTAAATTTGGACTGCGGTTAACTCTGTTTGCAGGTTTTGGGTATGATGGAGGGTAGATTCTTGAAAGCGTGGTGCTTGAGAGAATCTGCTCTCATGGTTAGGGAGAGTACCTTGGGTACTTCTCCAATTTCCTTTTGGGAGTATTTTGTGTATCTCCAATTTGTTTGCGAGTTATGTCTTTAGGATATCACTGGTGACCCAACGATGATGAACCACGTGCTCATGTTACTTTGTGATACCATGCACCACCAATGATGGCCAATAAGGTGGAGAGTGTTGAGGTATTGGCCCATAGGCCATGGCATCCCTCTTTACTCTTGTTGGGCCTGTTTGCTTGCCTCTTGTCCTGGCCCATGTTGTTTTGCCGCTAGCCTTGTTTCTGGAACCCTCCTTTAGGGTTTCCCCTGCAGCCCTGGTACTTAAGATCCTCTTCGTCTTCTCTTGACGCTGAGGTCTTCGGTTAGAAAGAGAGAGTGAGGTTAGAGAGAATAGAGAGAGAGACTCCCAGTCTCTTCTTCTTCCGGTCCCTTTGTGTTAATTCTCTCTATGCTTCCCCTTTTCTGACCTTTGGCGTGCGTTGAGATGGCTGGGCTGGCCTGAGTGTGATTGTCCCTTCCGGTGGTGCTTGGTTGTGTGCTGTATGAGCGTGGTCTGAGCTGGAGAGGTAAAAACCTGACAGACATGAATATTACTAAAAATGAACTCATTTACAAAAAAGTGACATTTTTTTAAAATTCCCAAAAAGTGACCTGCTACAGTAACGCACTACAGTGACAATACTACAGTGACATATGCTACAGTGACAAACAATACAATGACTAATATCACAACCATATCCCTCAGTTACATTTCTAAAGTGACCAAAATTTGTTATAGTGACTAACATAACAATTAATTATATTAATTACAATATTATTGGTATATAGTGACAATTACATTTCTCCGATCATAGTTACATGCCCGTAGTTACGTGCTCGTAGTTACGATCTCGTCCGATGTAATGTTAGATCGTCCAGTGACAACCGTCCGCCGCCCATCCTGCCACTCGTCCCACCGCCGTAAGTCCTATCCGGTGATTGCCACCGCACAGTCCCTTCATGTAACTGCTGCTGCCGCTCATTTAAGAGACCCTACCGTCCGGTGACCCCGCTGCCGGCCAATGATCATCGTTGATCACAATGACACCACCATGACATGACTTGGACTCTGCCCCTGTCCCGCCTCCACGACTACATCTCGCCAGTACCAACGGTGACCACCACCCCGACACAACCGCTGACCACCACCTCCGGTCACCACACCCCACACCCTCTTGTCACCCTAACCTCCAACCAGCATCACCCAGCCCACACAGTAGCCCCCACCCCACAGCACCCCACCCCTCACAGCAGAGCCCAACCCCCCACTAGCCCCCAACCACCCTCCCACAGCTCGGCCACAAGGCCATTGCGCCACACCCGGCCGCCCCAAGCCGTCGTACACCACTGCTCTCACACAACCATAAGCCCGTCGCGACAAGGCCATTTTCGGCGCCGTTCGTCACCCTTAGCCTCCTTCGCTGCCATATCCGGTAACCCTTGCCGCTGTCATCAGTGACGTGCAACCCTAGCTCAATCGAGGATGGAGGATCCAGCAACGGCGTGCAACCCTGGGTCAATCGAGGACGGCGAATCCAGCAGCGGTGGTGGCTATCAATGACGATTGAACCAGAGGCGGCTATCGAGGAAGATTGAACCAGAGGATGCAGTTATCGAAGACGGTGCCTCGATCTTCGTTGTTGGTCGATTTCAGCGGCAGCGGTGAAGGAGAGAAGACACAACGGCAGTGATTGAAGAAGAAATGAGAAGAAAGAGAAGAAATCAGATCGATGGGAGATTTGAAGTTGCTGCTTGCAGTGGAGGAGGAGGATTCGAAGGTGTGGTTTGCGGAAAGCTGCGATGAAGAATGGCCGGTAACGAGGATGAAATAGGGTTTAGTTTATTTTAGTGTATTTCAATTCATTAATTAATGTTTACTCTCTTTTTTGGCCTAAATTAAAAAGGGCCATATTTTTGTCTACTGCAAAGCTATTAGTAATATTCTAGTCATTCTTCCTTTACGCTAGGGGTGCTTTTTTCATCTATAAACTTCTCTCGACTTCTCATATTTCAATAGAAAATTCCTTAAACATAACTAAAACTTAAGTAAAGTGCACAAATTGGTTCTTCACGGTTTTCTTTCTTAAACAGGTCTCTATTTGAGATCATTTTATACTTTTAATAGAATTGAATAAGTCTTTCTTTGAGAATAAAACACTTTATGTTTTAATTTTATTTCGAGTAATTTCTTTTTTAAGTAAAGTGTCATTTGTGCATAGTTTTTCCATTCAGCACAAGTCGAGGGTGTAATACTAGAAATGCACTCTCTCTTTCTCTAAATTTTATCAAGTTTAATCAGTATAGGAAATAATAAAATACAAAACTATGTGGTTGAAGTTTGCACAGAGGAGAGAGAAATAACAGAAACCACGTATTCATTGATTAAAAAGAAAATGACGTTCACAAATTGTGTGATTTGTGAATGTTTCATACACGTTGCAAGTGAATGCTATTTTATCTGTGAACAATATATTTATAAACAAAAAATAGCATTCACAAGCGGCGTGTATGAGGCCTGTATGGAAAGCGTACAAGAGGGATGTAATTGCATAAACAAAATTATGTGGATCTTACTTGACTAAAAGATACTCCGAATGATCAAAATATGAGCTTTCCTATTGATCCAAAAGGTGGAATCTCTCACCCCAGGAGCTCCCCACCCGACTCGACATGATGGTGGGAGGTTAGTCACGGTGACTCAGTCAACAGAATGGCAGTAGACCCATACATCCATGCGCACCAGAGGCCCAACCTTATTTCAGGTTCTGTGACCTCCACCCGGTCGCTGCGAGGATTTGAACCTTGGTCCATTGATCCAAATCTCCCACCACTCGACCAACTGAGTTACCCGTGCGGGTAAATATGAGTTTTCCTAATATATACGTAATGATGTTTTCTTTTGAACCGGTCCCAAAAGAATTCAAAAGAAAACATCTCAATTATACGATACCGTATATACTATGGTCATATCTACCGCTAGTGCCTCACCACCTACCCTTCGTACTTGATATGGAATGGCCAGATTCCACAATTCGTTGCAGAAGGATGTGACCAACTCTAAAGCCGACACATGGCTCACAATTACACGATCGGACAATCTAGCTAGCAAAGCAACCCCATGCCAGTTCGTCTACCTATAAATATACGAACTGGATCTCTGGATGCTTTCATCCTTGGATCAAAATGGAAGCACAAATGTTATATACATCTCTTGCTTTCATCTTTGCCATAATATTCATAGGCCTTCACAAACTTGGTTCTCAATCACATAAGAATCAGCTGCCACCAAGTCTGCCAGGCCGCCTTCCCATACTAGGCCACTTCCATCTCATGAAAAATCTCCTCCATAGAACACTACATGAATACTCCAAGAAACTGGGACCTATTTACTCCCTCCACTTCGGTGGCCGCCTTGTGGTGGTGGTTTCATCCTCCTCATTGGTGGAAGAATGTGTCTCCAAGAATGACATCATCTTTGCGAACCGCCCTCCGGTTTCGGTGGACCGCAAATCGCTAGGGTTCAGTAGCACAAGTGTGATTGGAGCGCCCTACGGTGACCATTGGCGCAACTTGCGCAAGTTGTGCGATCTTGAAATCTTTTCCCCTACTCGTCTCGCGTCGTTCCTCTGGATCAGACGAGACGAGAGGGATCGCATGATCTCTAGTCTTTATAACATCTCATCCGCGGGTGTTTTTGCCAAGGTGATATGAATAGAAAAATTATGTGCATGTCTATTTTTAAAAAAAAAAACTAGAGTTTTTAATAAAGAAATTGTCCTAAATAAGATAAAAGAACTAGCTAATGTATCGAGTATGTACTATGTTTTTCCTTGTAAATAGAAGTAAATACTACTCCATTCGTCCCATTTAAATCATTACACTTTCCTTTTTGGGACGTCTCATTTACTCCTTTACGTTTTCTTTTTAGCCAACCCCTTTTACATTAAATGTTCTAACTACCCTTCACCACCCACCCACTTTTTATAAATGGGTGAATAGCATTACTTCTCCCCAAAAGTCAAAGGGCACCCAAGTCATTTGTTCTTTTACGGAGTATTAATTGAGTTTCTAAAACACCGTGCCAAAAGCAAACGTAAAGATTCAACCGGGATGGAGGGAGTATCATTTTGAAAAATTCTACCATATTTAGACATCATGAATACTATATACTATGTGTCCTATTAAAGATGCTTTTACTTGGATTGAAATTTGATGGTTTGGTGTGGTCTATTTATATTTAAGGAGGTCTGATCTGGTGCGTAAATGTCTGGTCTCTATGTATTTTAAAACTATGAAAGTTTAGTATGGTTTGTTTATATTTGGTCTGGTCTGATCTCTGGTAAGAACATCTTAACACCGTATAATGTCATAATAATATAGTACGTTGTCCTTATTTTACTTCTTTTAAAAGAAAAATAACGCACTCTTACTCGGAGAAATAACTGTCTTCCTCATATTTCTAAAATGATAAAATTGTAGATTTTATTTCTTGTAAGTTTATTCACTTTGAAATTTGATCGTAATAGATTTTTCTACATCAAAACTTTTAATTTTTATCGGAAAGTACACTTACAAGTGGAAATGAAATGGGTGATGTTCTTTCCAATACTACGTATGTTTGTGTACTTTTCATTGGAAAGGCCTTTACAAAAAATTTATTAGTCATTAAAACTGTGCGTGAATAAAGATATAAGACTAATAACAAGCACCACATACCCAAAGTTGCAAAATACTCCCTCCCTTCTTATTTTATCTTCCAAATTGGTTTGTCACACAATTTAAGATAGTGAATATTGTGTGGTGGAGAGTTGTGTAGAGGAAAGAGAAATGTGTAAGAAATGTTGTGAACCACTAATTCTTTACTAAAAAGGGAAAGTGAAAGTTTTAATTAGAACAGACGAAAAAGGAAAATTAGAAGTTTTAATGAAAATTAGAAGTTTTAATGAGATTTATCATTTACTATTTGACTTGTCAAATTAGCATGTTGGCATGACATGACATATATGCACGTTGACACAACATATGACATATGTGACGTGTTAAATCAAGTATTTCATAGTCTAGTGTACTTGCAAGGCAGAAATATAATAAAGTAAGAAATAATTACTAAAATAAAGATTGTTGATTACATATGACTAAAATAAAGATTATTTATTACAAAAATGTGATTGGTGACTAGAATATTAATGAAATCACAGTAATGTATTTTTAATTTTCGAACTTAAGTTACCATATACTCCCTCCGTCTCACAAAATTGTTCTCACTTTTCTTTTCGGGTCGTTCCAAAAAATTCTTCCCACTTACCATTTTTGGACAATTTGTGTGGTTTACATTTATTTCACCTTTTTCTTACACAACTACAACCATACATTTCTACTTTATTCCACTTTCTTAATTCCGCGTCAAGTCAAAGTAGGAAGAATTTTATGGGACGGAGGTAGTACTCCCTCCGTCCCAAAAACAATTTCACACTTCGTTTTCCACACATATTAAGGAAATAAACTTACTGGGGTAAATTTTACTATTTTGACACTGTTTGGACACTGTTTAGCACTGTTTGGCACTGTTTGGCACTGTTTTGATGTAGATAATTTGAGAAATAAGGAAGTGGGAAGAAGTGTGAAGTTAATTTTGGGACATCCATTTAAGGAAAGTACTCCGTAGGAAGTTGTTTTTGGGACGGAGGGAGTATAACACTACATTATATTGAACTAAGTGTTAGTCATGTAAATAAGTTTTATTTTAGTACTCCCTCCGTTCCTATTAAAACTTCCAACTTTCCTTTTTCGTTCGTTCCAATTAAAACTTACATTTTCCCTTTTTAGTAAAGAATTTGTGGTTCACAACATTTCTTACACATTTCTCTCTCCTCTGCACAACTCTCCACCACACAATACCCACTATCTTAAATTGTGTGCCAACCCTATTTGGAAGATAAAATAGGAACGGAGGAAGTAATATTTTTGAAAACCCCATATACTCTCTCCGTTCTTTATTAACTGTCTCGCATTCCTTTTTGGGACATTTTTTATTATTTGTCTCTCTTTCTATTTTAGGAAAGTTTTTGATAAAATACCCCCACTTTTATTACTTTTACCCCTCTTACTTTTTACAAACTACTTTCTCTTTCATACTTTATCATAACTTTACTCTACTTAATATACCATCTTTCCTACTTTATCATCATTTTATCACCACTTCACTCTTTTTAATATACTCTCTTTTCTACTTTATCATTTACCCTACACGCTCTACATTTACCCTACTATTTTTCTATTAAAACTCATGTCCAAGGCTAGCGGGACGGATAATAAAGAACGGATGGAGTATATAATAACTATGTACTCCGTACTACTTAAGGTTTATATGTTGTTGAGTGGCAAATATTGATGCATGGATATATAATATATAGGTGAACGTGGAAAACAAGATTGTGGAGATGACATTCAATAACATAATGAGAATGGTGGCCGGAAAGAGATACTATGGGGCGGAAATGGAGGACGACGAGGAGGCGAAGACGTTCCGAGAGCTAACGAAGGAGGCGTTGGAGCTGACAAGTGCTTCTAATCCCGGTGAGATATTTCCGATGTTGAGATGGATTGGGTGCAATGGGCTGGAGAAGAAGCTGGCCATCCACTCCACCAAAACGGACGAGTTCATGCATGCCCTGCTTAACAAGCAGCGGCAGCAAAGCAAAGTTGCAGAGCGGCAGAACACCATGGTTGACCGTTTGCTAGCTTTGCAGGAATCTCAACCTCAATATTACACAGATGAAATCATTACTGGCCTCATAGTTGTGAGTAGTGCATGTATTTCATTTCCCATATAATTTGTTGTTTTCATCATCACTCATCCAGCTTCTATACTCTTTGAGTTTAATTAGAACTTCATTTCAGGATAAGATGAGCACTACTAGAACATAGAGAAAAATTCCCTGAAAAGTTCATAAATAGGACTCATTATTTTATTCCAAAAATAGGAGTTATCTACTCCTAGTTTGGGAAGTTTTAATCAACTTGTTTACTTAATAGGACTAAATCAATCATATTTGGGGAATAAAATATAGTTCATCCTATTTTTGAGTTTTGTGTATGTTTTAGTACGTCCTGCATTGAGCAATTTTTATAATGTTAAGTTGATATAAAAAGTAAATTTGCGTATTAAATTTGTGAGGTCTTTTTTTGTGGTATATGTTGATCACTCATTTGAGTTTAATAGATACTCATAACCATATGTAGATTGTAGACTAGCTTGACATTACATTCGAAAAAGTCATCATATACAAGGCCAGAACGGAGTAGTCTAAAGAACTTATACGTGGGTTATATGTTCAATCATTTTCGCTAGTGTTAGATAGGCAAGCTTAGCTTGTAGTAGGTGTTGACTATAAGTAGGTAGCTAGGTAGGGGTGGAAACAAGGAGAGGCTACGTCCTCGACCCCCCCCCCCCCCCCCCCCAAGAATTATGATGAACTAGTGTAGTCGTCCCGTTGGATTTTGTCAAGTGCAAAGTATGTGAAAAATAAGAATAGTACGAAGTACAAAGTGTGTGATTAAGATTTGTGTAGAGATGAGAGAAATGTACACAACCATAAATTAGTTGCTTTAATAGGAAAGTGAGAAGTTTTTTTGTGACAATCAAAAAAGAAAAGTTGGCAAAGTCCAATGGGACGCAGAGAGTATATATGTATGTGTAAATATTTATAAGTACTAAAAAGTATAATGAAATTTTAAATTTTGCCCAGAATATAAATTCACCTAAACTAATTTCGGTATAATTTGTACTTACTCTATACATAGATAGGGACCTTTAATTTGTTCCCAGCTATTTTTATAGTCATACTCATACAATAGTTTAGGGCAAAAGATTAATGGTCTTGTTTACATGTGCATGCAGGCCGTGATAATTGCAGGGACAGATGCATCAGTGGTGGCCACAGAATGGGTAATGACACTCTTACTAAACCATCCAGAGGTCCTAAGCAAGGCCAGGGAAGAAGTGGACCTTCACGTAGGGCACAACCGGATGGTAGAAGAAGAGGACTTACCCAAACTCCGTTACCTCCACCACGTTATTCTCGAGACTCTAAGGCTGTTCCCGCCAGTCCCAATGCTGGTCCCACACGTGCCGTCACAGGACGTCAAAGTTGGAGGGTACACTGTTCCTAAGGGCACCATGGTTTTGGTCAACGCATGGGCGGTCCACAGGGACCCTGAGGTGTGGGGCGAGGACTCTCTCAGCTTCAAGCCGGAAAGGTTCGAAAAGATAACGGCGGCGGACGATGTGGAGACCCACAGATTGCTGCCGTTTGGGAAGGGGAGAAGGGCGTGCCCTGGGGCTGGGCTGGCGCAGAAGTTTGTGGGGTTGACCGTAGCGTCGTTGATACAGTGCTTTGACTGGGAGAGGCCGACCGCGGATAAAATAGACCTTTCTGAATCTTCTGGGACCACCTTGCCTAAGGCCATCCCCCTTGAAGCTCTTTGCAGACCAAGACCAGTCATGAAAAACGTTCTTCAACTTGTCTGATCGATTCAAAGCATTTATATTTTTTTTCAATGTAACGCAATTTTCACATGTGACGATAATAAAGGAAAACGGTGTTTTCTATAGAATAATGCAATGATTTTAATTGGATTATAACTTGTTGATCCCGAAATTGAAGCATAACTTCTGTTTTTTAATAGTTGCAACGTTGTGACTCTTTGACTATTCAGACATTTTAGTTTGATTTAGATTTTCTATTAAATTACATAATCAAATGATTATATATAAAATGTTATTAAATTTCTATTAATGTGGATTTCCAAAATATCAACTTTTTATAATGTCTACTAATACGAAATTGAAATTAACTATAATTACAATCAAAATTGTGTGTTGGCAAGCGTGAAAATAAAATTGTTACAACTATTAAAGAACGAATGGCAGTACACATATTGTTAATCTCATAAAAGGGGAGATTGTTGTTATAACAAGACGAAAGCATATTATTAATTCATGTAAAAATAATACTACCTCCGCCTTGAAAAGGTTCTTCATATTGACTTTTCTTAGTCATTGATGTCAAATTTTGGATAATGACTTTAAATATTATATTTGCATATACTACTATAAGATGAGTAGTGCACTTATATTTATTTATTTAATGGGATGTAAATAGTACCTTTAATAGGATATAAGATGTAATTACTACTCCCTCCGTTCCTAAATAAACTTCCAACTTTCCTTTTTCATCCGTTCCAATTAAAACTTCCACTTTCCCTTTTTAGTAAAGAATTTGTGATTCACAACATTTCTTACACATTTCTCTCTCCTCTGCACAACTCTGCACCACACAATACCCACTATCTTAAACTCTGTGCCAAACCTCTTTGGAAGTTTTAATAGGAACGGAGGTAGTACTATTTACACTTATATTACATATATTATATATAAGTATACTGCTTATATAAGTATACTACTATAAGTCTATAAGATGTAATTAGTACACTTTAATAGGATAAATGTATAACTAATACTCCCTCCGTCCCGTTGGAATATTCCCGGTTTGACCTGCACACATATTATGGAAATAAACTTACCAGGAAGTAAATTTTACTGTTTTGGCACTGTTTCGACGCTGTTTGGCACTGTTTCGACACTGTTTGACACTGTTTTTCACTGTTTGACCCTGTTTTGATGTAGGATAACTTTCCATTTAGGGAAATGAGAACTTTCCAACGGGACATCCAAAAAAAGAAAGCAGGAACATTCCAACGGAACGGAGTATTAATGAAAATGTAACTAATAGGATAAATGTGTGAATGTATATTAATTAATGGGAATGTAACTAATAGATTAAATGTAACTAATATTAATGAAAATGTAACTACTAGAATAAATGTATAAACTATAAATTATACTTTAAGTAACCAATATATAATATAATGTTAATAGTATATAATACGTACTCCCTTCATCCCATATTTATCTCCTGAAGTACAAATGACACACAGATTAAGATAGTGGGAAATGTGTGATGGAGAGTTGTGCAGAGGAAAGAGAAATGTGTAAGAATGTGTAAGAATGGTTGTGAACCACAAATTATTTGCTAAATAGGGAAAGAGAAGATAAATTTGGGACAGACCGAAAAGGAAAGTATGAAGATAATTCCGGGACGGAGGAAGTAGTACATAAGTATACTAATACAAGATGAGTTTTACACTATGAGACTTGCAATTAAGTATACTAATACAATTAATGAATAAATACTCCCTCCAAACTCCATCTCGAAAAGGTTCGTCAAATTGATTTTTCTTGATCAATGACAATCAACTTTGATTAATGATATTCTTTAATACGAAATTATTTTGAATATGAAAATTACATCAAAGTAAAAAATTTAAAGAATACTAATAAAACTCATCATTAAAGTATAAAACAAGATGTATTAGTTCATCTCATAAGTCATAACATTCATAGGCATTCCAACTTCTTTCTCAATCACATAAAAATCTGCCACCGTATTGGCTGTTGCATCCTTGATTTGGTGCTTCGACAGGGAGAGGCAGACGCTGATAAAATTGACTTGACTGAATCTTCTGGGACCACCTTGCCCTAAGGCTACCCCTTGAAGGAGTTGAAGCTCTCTGCAAACCAAGACCAGTCATGAAAATGTTCTAGCACGTCTCTAATTCAAAGCATTTATATTTCCAATGTACAAAAATGACTCAAATAGGACTTTTTCCATGTGATCAGGAAGAAGTAAAAGTGAGGGTTAATCTAAAAAATGTTGTTAACCATTGTGCACCTTTATGTGCTTGAGCTTCTATACTTTAATCTTTTTTAATCTTTGGCCTCGCAAACCATTCCAAAAAGCAGCTGCATTAACCGCTTTTTTGCCTGGGACTTGAACTTCCAGTACCTGAAATACCACAAACAACACTTGGCCTTTGTTTGGTTGAAATTAGGAAATGAGAGGAGATGGGATGAGAGGGGAAACCAAGCATTCCAGTCCATCTAATTGTGAGGTTACCGTGTCTCGAGTTCGAATCCCGCTAGGTACACAAGGGTTTGAAACTCAATGGAGTGAGTTTCAGCTCTGATTACTCCAGCCCCACTCCCCAAATCCCCGGAGTAAAAAAAAAAGAAAAAAGAAAGAGGGGATGAGAGGGGAACGTAAGGATGTGTTTAGGAGTTTGGTTTTGGAGGGGAGGAGAAGGTTTATGGGGGTTTATAATCATCCTTTTCATGGTTGGGAGTTTAAGAAATTGAAGGGGATGATTTTGGAGGGCTTTTGTGACCCTCTAAAATCCCTCTAAATGCCCAATTTAAGTTCCCTCAATTTGGAGGGGTTTTGAAGGGTAATTAATAAAAAGATAATTTAAGCTTAATTTAAAATGAATATCAATTAAATTATTGAATTTGTCATATCTCAAGGTGATTTTAATTATAATTCCTTCAAGGATTCTCTTCTTCCAAATTTATCACTCCCAAATACGAAGGGTTTCCTCACCTTCCCCTCCCTTTCTCCTCCAACAACTTACCTTCAAAGTCTTCTCCTCCCCTTTCATCCAAACTCCCACACATACCCTAAGAGTTCCGAAAGACGTTACGTTTGACTCGATAGGAGTGAGGGGGAATAATTCCTTCAGAAAATATATATATAAATAAATAAATACTCTGTATATATATACTCCCGCCGGTCCTAAATAAACTTCACACTTTGACTTTATGATTTTTAAGAAAGTGGAATTTTTGCTTTTGACTTTCCCATCATACTCCTCAAAAAATAGATTAGATGTAGTGGGAGAGAGACGGTGCGTGTAAAGTAAGTAGGTAATAAAGTAAGAGTATAAGGGTAATTTTATGTTAAAAACTTACCAAAAATGGAAGTGAAGTTTATTTAGGACCGGAGGGAGTATATATATATTATTGTTGCAATTATAAGTATAGTTATCTTTATGCATAAAAAATAATAATGTCAAACAATTTTGATTTAATTGAAAGTGAATAAATAAGAACAAACATATCCTGCAAAATAAGCTGAATCGGTGGAGTGAGATATGAGGATTAAAGAGTTTGGTAGAGCTTATAAAAGAAAAAATAAGAAAAGTGAAAGATATTTTAATCTAAGAGCTGTAACAAGATATGATCCTCATAGATCTGGAAAGAGAAAAGTGATGCTCACTTCAAGTGTCGAGCCCCTACCACACGGAACTATTAGGGATCCTTTACGGAACAACAATTCATCATGTTCACCATCCTGAGTTAGTACATTGTTGTGAACTCTTGTTGTGATGATTTTCAGCTCTATGATGCTATTCCGGTTACTTCTGGAATCAACGACTGCAAGTCTAGCTCTAGTTCCAGGCCACCCTGCAAATGCTCGAACCTAAAAGCTAACTATAGCAAGTCATTTATTACTCAGAAGTCAGAAATCAAGAAACAAATTACAAATTTACCTTGTTGTGAAGGACATTGGCTTCTTCATCAAAGGATAGCCATGACTCGTCAGGACATATCTGAAGGACAACAAGGAAATCACTACTAAACCATAGTTTATATCCAGAACATCTGAGACTTGAGTTGTGATGGACATAGAGAGTTAGAGGCCCAACCCCAATTTTCATGCTAAAGTGTCTGCTTAGCAGAGCTTCTTTGGGATTTGGGATTTTATAGCATATTGTAAGCTCCATATAGGTTATATGTTCTGTTTGTTTAAAAATTAAGCTCTTGTTTGAAAAGCTATCTTCCGTAGACCATACGTAGGAGTGTAAATGAGCCAAGCCGCTCGCGAGCTGCTCGTGGATCGCTCGGGAAAAGCTCGACTCGACTTCGGTCATATTAAGCTCGACTCGACTTCGGCTCAACTCGAATAGTTAACAAGCTCAATTCAAGCCTATTTATTTTAGGCTCGTGGCTCGCGAGCCGGTTCACGAGCCTTTGTGTCATATTTTATATATAATAATTATATTTGTAATGATTATATATATACTTTTTTTGGGAATATGTATTCTGATTTAGGACTATTGCATTTTCAATACTTATCACGAAGTATATTATAATAGTAATAATTACAAAAATAATAACATGTATGTAGTATTACTATTGTAACCATAACCTATAATAATTATAATATGTACCTGTAATACTTATTGACAACAAAATAAAGAATAAAAGTGTCAGTACAGAGAGATAAACTAAAAATGAGAATGAATAAGTATACATATTATATTTTTAGCTCGAGTTCGCACATCTTATTCGAGTTCAAACCTATAAAAATAATTAGCAAAACTTGACCCGAGCTCGAACAGAGCTCGAATTGAGCTCGAGTGAAGCTCGGCTCGAGTTCGAGCCCGAATTATTTAACTCGTCCAAGCTCGAGCTCGAGCTCGTGAATTCTTATCAAGCTCAAGCTCAAGCTCAAGCATACCCATGTTCGGGCTCGGCTCAGCTCGTTTGCACGCCTAGACCATAGTAATAGAATTCAGTATTGGGTTGACTTCAGTAAACGTAGACGTAATGCACATTGATCAAACCACACACTAAACGATCGACTACTATTGATTAATTAAATCAGCTGAAGGTCTTGCAAACCCATCTTCCTCTAATATTTCGATATGGGACTCTGACACAGAACATTCGGTTAAAAAGCTACTAACTTTTTATTTAACATTAATTATCTTAGGTGTGTTAATATAAAAATTACGCTGTATCATTTATATTCTTTTACACATATAAGTGCTGCTAAACAACTAATTCTGCCAAAAAAATCAAACTACTAGGCTTTAACTTCTCAGCTATTAGATTTATCAATATTCATCTAGCTTTTCAGCTTGACATGCCAAACAGACCAAAAAAAGCACATCACATGCACATTGTTTTGTGATCCATGAACATTCCAGCAACACTACATCCTCATACATTAATGAAATTGAAGGTAGCTGCTCTAATTAGTGATGCACCCATGAATTTAGAATACTATTCTCTTGGTAAAGCTTTTATCATTTCCTGCGGTGACTTTCATTTCAATTTTGTAATTTCATTAATTGCGTATATACCTTTGGAGCCACGGTAGCTAGAGATTCATCTTGGTCTTGTGCCTTTAACCTAGCCGACCCATCAAAAATTGAGGGAAGCTCGCGGATTATAAGGCTCGACCCTACACACATTATCAGTGCCATAACTCAGTCTCGGATGGTCAAAGTATATCTTAAACATCCACTCGAAATAGAAACAATGAATGTTTTTTAAGGAATGATTATCATCAGCTGTGAACTAAAATAAGGAGCGCAGTAGGATATGAAATTATTTATTGAAAAAGTTGACCTAGTGAGAAGAGTAGCTCGAGTAATTCTGGAGCCTGCAGAAAGAAAGTTAAACCAGAAGTCAGAAAAAATGAACCCAATATCAGCAGAAGGCTGGTAAAAGTTGAGTAATTATAATGTAGGTGCCGCCTGTAAAACAAAGGCATGATCGAAGTTTTGGATAGTCTTCATATTAAAAAAAAATATTTCCATATAAAAAGTACAGAAGATCTCATTTTTAGCTGAAAAATAAACTCTATATATTATTCCTAGTCAGAAGCAGAAATGAAGTTCAAGTTGAATAATCAGGAGACCTTTATTTTATCATCAACTTCCACTTTTTCATAGGAAATAACTGGCCCAGCATCAAGTTGGCGAACAGTATATGCTAATGATACCCCAGTTTCTTTGACACCATCCTGAAGAAATAGATTCAAAAACTGCTATTATAAACTAAACATTTAACTCATATAGGTAAACTTCCATTAAACATTCATAAGAAGTGAACCTGTAGTGATCTTTGAACAGGGGCAGCTCCACGGTATAAAGGCAGCAAGCTTGGATGTACATTGACTGTGCCTAAAAAAGTAAATTACAAGATTGGTGGAACCCAGGGAAAAGCTTTCTGGTCTATATGCAAATGATATTCCAAAAATAAACCCTCAGTAAATCCAACAGCTTACTTTTTCACTGAATAAATACACTTGCAATTTAAGAAAAGCATCACGTGTTGGAAAGCACATTTAATAGTCCACCGATACATAATGAGCTTCACCCTTGATCTAGACAAACACAACAAATGATGTACTTATGTACTCATTCGTGATACAGAAATTAATAAAGAATTGGAAAACGGAGTTTTAATATGTGACCGATCACAAACATCTACGCATTGTGTCATCATGGTTTCACCAAACAAATTATTTCAGGTTTGGAACCTTCTGTTACCGAAATAAAAGTACAACTGGAAACAATAAAGAAAAACTGCATCAGTAGGAATGGTTCAGCAATGTACCAAGGAAGTAATTGAATAAATTCACATAATAGTGCTCTCCCCCATCCCAAAAAAAGTCATATCCTAAACACATCTTTTGTCCCAAAAAAGAGTCCACTTTGATCAAACTAAGACATCTTTTCGTGTAATTTGCCAAAAAATGATTAAATAGAGTCACAAACAAGTCGCATATTCTCTATTCATTTAAACCAGCTAATAAAATTTAAAAATACAAGTATGATTTATGAGAGTAGTACCTTATAAAATATCTACAATGGTAAAACGGGACTCTTTTTTCTGGGACGGAGGTAGAAATGGAAAGATATATTTACCAACCCGTTGATGGGATGTTTAGAAACTTTGTCGGCAGTATATTCCCATAAGCCGCAGTGACACAGAGTTCAGGCTCCAAAGCTTTGAGGTCTGAAAGAAAGGGTTCCTGTATTGAAGGCACTTAGACATATATACAAAGTCCAAATAAAAGCGAGGCTTTTAAGTAACTATAAATGAAACATAGATGCTCATCACAAAATGTAGATGCTCATCACAAAATGTATAATTAGATTAGTAGTAATAGCAATAACATACTAATAATAATAGTAATAATAATAATAATAATAATAATAAATTACCTCACCAGCTTTCGCAGGTGTGAAGATCATATCAGATGCAAAGCCGCGGTCAAGAGCGTGTTTTGCAACTGGCGAAGGCATAACTTTCCTTCCTCTATCTCTACCAGAGGGAGGTTGAGTGATGATAGCAGCTACCTGAGGACCAGTACCCCCAAGCTCACGTTTTTACAGAATATTCAATTGTAAAATGACCTCAATAAAGACATGCTTATGAGTTATGACCATGTTCTGACGAAGTAAATTGACTACTTCTACTAGTATACTTCCTCTATTACACATTAGCTGATGTTTAACAATTAAGTAAGCGGATTAAAAACTCATTAAATATAAATATAATATAACCTTGAAATAGATGAACTAGGATTCAACTAACCTTGACTTATAACATTTCCTGAACTAGGAGATATTACAAAATTGGGATTGAGATGGAAAAAGGTAAAGTTGAAAAATTGGTGTGAAATGCTCTCTCTATTTTTATAATGACAATTAAACAAAAAATAAATAAACAAAACAACAGTTATCGTGCAAAAGGGGAGTACATGAATGCACTTCATCTTAACTACTAGATGATGATGATTAATTAAAATACATCAAGCTATCAAAATGAATGATGATGATGATGATGAAGCTATCAAAATGAATTAGCGGTACACCAGATAGGAAATGTGTGATAAGACTTGAAATTGCTAAACATACGTATTTCGAGTAACATTGAACTGGTTAAGTGGTCATATTTAACATAAAAAGAAAGGTGAATAGTCAAGACCTCAAAGGAGGAATCCGGCGTAGCTGCTGCGTCGAATAAAGCGTCTAGAACCGACACAGATACCTGTGAGATGAATGTCAAATGATTTCCTGTTCTAAGAGACTAGTATGCAAAGTATGAAGATGGGGTAGAGTCTACCTGAGGGGAACCCAAGAAGATAAGACGGTTCTTCTTAGAAATGAATTTCATCACCGAAGTGGTAGCAGGATTTGAGACGGCGCTGAAGCAGCAGAACCGCCGAATCATCATTGACGACGACGGCATCATCATCCTCTCACACCTCGCCGGCGCCGCTGTTGTTGTCAATTGGTGAGACGGTGACCGCCAACTCGCCAAGACGCCAAGGTTACTTTTAGTCAAGTTCGTAACATTATTTGCCAAATTCAGATAAAATTTGCAATTTTGAGAAATTTTCGTAATTCTGTGATTGGGAAATTTCAGAGAAGTGGGGAGGAGAGAATTGATTTTTAACTTTGGGATAACTGGATTTATTAGTTTTAGAGTACAAGTAACTATATTATTATTAGGATTTTTTCCAAAAATAATGTCAAATAAAAAAATATTTATTAAAAAAATAATTTTGATACAAAAAATATTTTCAAAGTGTTAATTTTTTTATATATATAAAAGATAATAAAAAGTTATGAAATTTGATATATTTTTTTGTAAGAATCAGAGCACAAATAAAAAAGTTATATCACTTTTAAATAAAAATGGGATTTCATTTTTTAGTGAGGCCATATCTCATATTCTCTTCCTAAAAAAAGGATGACACCCCATCCCTGAAGGTCTCCCAACACCGACCAGACGGTACGTTGTGAGGATGTAAATCGGACTATAATCATAATCTGACAGATAGAGAGTGAGTCTCTGTTCTCGGTACTTGCAGAGGCCCTATGCATTTTTTAGCATAGTAACCTCTCTTCGCAGTTGCCGGGATTCGAACTCGGGACATAACCCTTGTGGCACTCCCTCGCTACCAGTTGAGCTACGCTCGCTGGTCTCATATTCTCTTCCTAGTACGTGCTTGTGTCGTGCGTTACTTGCTTCTGTATAAACTGTCATTTCAAGTGGAGGGGGCAGTATTTTGGGAATACTTTTAATCTAACCTGTTGGATAATTGATACTCATATTGTATGAAAAGGAGATATTGAACTTAGTAAATGGAGAAGAAGGATGAATAGTAGAAATGATATGAATTGTATGAGTTCGTGTCTTCTTTACAAGCCTCCTATAAGGAGTATATATAGGGAAATCCGGGTCTGGGCCTCTAATACGGGCCTAACAGATCCAGTTACATAAATGGACTGATAGTATGAAAAGCTAATCTAGAACATCTGAATAATAATGTACAACAATATGAATCCGCTAAACGTGTGTGGGCTGCTGTCCAGGCCTAATAGTCGGCAGGTCGGGGGGTCGGAGTCCATATACTCCATCAGGAGTCCCCCACTCCCTGAGCCGAGAGTACTCGAGGTGAAAGGGAGTAGTTCACAATTGTATTTGCAACGTTCTTCTGCCTTTGGTTTATTCCTCTTCGACCGGGGGGCCACCACCCTTGTCCATGATGGGGAGGTGCCTCGTTAAAAACCTTTACTAGGAAAAAATCCAGTGGGAAAAAATCCTAATAAAGGGAAAAAGAGTACACCTAGCGCCACCCACATGAAACAAGGAAGGTAGGCCCCTTCCGGCATAATCACTTTTGTCTAGTTCAACCTGTCTTCATCTGACTTAGCTCTCGTTCCTGCTCATGCGTGATCTTTGCTGCTCATCCAGAAAATCTGACCTCTCAGTCCCCCAGTCCCCCACTCCTTGAGGCGAGTGGAGACGAGGTGAAAAATGAGTAAAGTCATCTTCGTACCTACACATTTAACATGCATATAATTTTTTTGTCCTTGGGGTTTATGTTTCCGATCGGGAGTTCATCACTTGAAAAAGTGGAAATGTGAATTGTTGATGTAATGATAAAATACTTAGTAGAGTGGAGGTGTGAGCAATTCGTGTGCAACGGTCGCCACTCTTGGAATGACTAAGACCGGTCTTCGTGCCTGAGAGTCAGGGCTTTGTGCCTGAGGAGTCAGGGCTTTGTGCCTGAGGAATCAGGGCTTTGTGCCTGAGAGTCCGGGCTTTGAATCCTAGTGATGGGTCTCAAGCCACACTCTACTAGACATTTGATCATAATTGCGTGATAGTGTGACATTCACCCGACAAAAATATTGATCAAAATAAATATAAATAATATTAAAATTAAAGATACTTATCTTTTTGAAGTGGGCTGAATTTGTGGGCTGACTGGCATGAATAGTATCCAGCAGAACTCCCTGGAGCCGTTTTAACGCTGTTGACTGGCCCATGCTCCTTTTAATAATAGACCGAGTCAAAAGGAACCCACCGCCAGTCAATCTGGCCACCTTCTCCTGCAGCACATTGAATGAGCCATCTTATCTTCATTTCATGAGATTTTACAACATTGAATGAGGCATCTCATCTTAAATGTGTGGCTGGAGATTTTTGATAACATTGAATGAGGAACAAGGGGCTGCAGCGGATTTCCATCAAAGTGGCTGGAGATTTTATAGACGGTCTCGGCCGGATATGGATGCGAGAGAGACGATCCTTGCTCACTAAGTGAAAGATGTCGGACGCACCTTGCATTTGCTGCCGCCGGAAATGGAGGGAAGATAGAGTTAGACGGCGGCCGTCGGCCGTCGGTCAGAAGGAAGACGCATCGCGGTCGCAGCTGCTGTCGGTGGAGTGAGTGCGAAGAATGAGTCTTGCTTTCGCCGGACGGAGAGGGACGACACCCGACCACCGTGCTTGACTGGTCGTCCGCTGCGGTCGTCGCCGGCACAGGGAAGGAAGGGAGAGCTCTGGCCGCGACTGCGAGCTCTCCTCGCGGCGGAGCTCAACCGTGGGGCGTCCTAGACCGGCGGGTTCCTCAAACCGCGTCAGTGACCTGAGTTCCAGAGTAGCAGATCCTCCCAGTCGAGATGGGCCCACACGATTTGAGGCTGACTTGTTCTCGATAATAGAGCTTGCCGGCGGCCATTAATGGCGGACACGGTTGTTCAAGGTAGAGAGTTGTGGCTGGAGTGGGCACATGGGATAGGCGAACGGGCTAAAAGCGGCAGGAGGCGGCTCCATGCTGGAAGAGGGTTGAGCTGCACGTGGCGCGCCGGACCTGGCTCCTCCCCTACTGCTCCGTTGACCAGACAGTTCCGGTATGGCCGGAACCGCTCCAGATCTATAAAAATCCAGATATCTTTTTTTCTTTTTTTCAATTTTCCAGAACAGTTCCTTGTTGATCCTTTGTGATTTGGATGATTGTTTGAATGTTTCGGGAGGTTTTCTCACTTGATTGTGTTCAAACCTCTCAACGAGAGCACCATTGTTGGATAATTGATACCCATATTGTATGAAAAGGAGATATTGAACTTAGTAAATGGAGAAGAAGGATGAATAGTAGAAATGATATGAATTGTATGAGTTCGTGTCTTCTTTACAAGCCTCCTATAAGGAGTATATATAGGGAAATCCGGGTCTGGGCCTCTAATACGGGCCTAACAGATCCGGTTACATAAATGGACTGATAGTATGAAAAGCTAATCTAGAACATCTGAATAATAATGTACAACAATATGAATCCGCTAAACGTGTGTGGGCTGCTGTCCAGGCCTAATAGTCGGCAGGGCGGGTGGTCGGGGTCCATATACTCCATCAATACTTCTTCATAAGTTGCCTAAGAAGGTGAATGATTTGAGTTATTGAGAGACCAGTCATAAAATCAAATTGATTACTCGAAATCTTCACACTTGTTCAGTGCATTTGCTCAATTACTAGCTCTAAAAATTTTATGATGTGACTCATAAGCTGAATCCCTCGATAGTTGACATTCTTGTACATCACTGTTATTCTTATCAATCCCTCGAAAGTTGACATAATGCTCAATCATAACTATCACAACCTGAGCTCACATTCCCGATGAGGTTGCCTCATATGACCAAATTTTCTCCCCTTGACACTTGTCACACCACTTTCTTAAGATAAATCCCAAAATTGTTGAGTGATAGATGCATTCGACCGCATTTGTGGTGCATAGACACTTTGAATATACATGATCTCATCTTCTATCACCGATTTAATACGGGAGAATTCCCCAAATAGGACTAAATGAAACTTTAATTGTCAAAATGGACCATAACGTAAAAATTCCCTAAATATGACTAGCTTTCCCATTCTACCCTTGCTTTGTTTTAATACAATTCATATTTCATTAATAATTAACATGTAAAAGTAATAACATAACTTTATTTATCATATAAATGTAAAAAAATAAAAAACACGAAATAAGTATAAAATATAATTAATAAAAATAAAAAAATCGGGAAAAATGTAAAATAAAATAAAAATTAAAAATTAAAATAAAATAAATAAAAAATGAAAAAAGATAAAAAAAATATGCAGGTCTATGTTGCCACCTCAGCAAAATCCCAACACCTTCAGCTCCAATCACAGAAGAAATGCCAACATGTTCTAGAAATGCCATCTTGATGGTTGTTTTCGAGAAAATTTTGACATTTTCGTAGAGTAAAAAAGTCATCTTCATGACATTTTCAGAGAAAAATGGCAGTTTTTACAAAAAATGATTTTTTTAGCTGATCAAGGGAAACTTGGCTGGGCAGTGGCTGATACTGTGGGAAAGGCCTGTATATTTTTTTTATATTTTTAAGGTGTTTTATCTTTTTTTATTTATTTTTAAAGTTTTTACTTTTTTTATTTATTTTTAAATTTTTATTATTTCAGTATGTTTTTTTATTGCAATGGAGCCAAAGATTCATTTTTTGGCTTGAGATTATGATGGAATAAAGCAAAATGGCTCACTAAATTGTCTGTGCTTCTTTGTTATGGAACAGCAGTCAGTCCATGCAATTTTGGACACGATTTTCACTATGGGTCATCTGGAAACAATCTCTCTGTGCTTTAGTACATGTGTAAGACTGCATACATCTGACCCCCCTTACCCCACCGTAGGTAAGAGCATTTGCGACACTGGGGTAAATGAAAATGAATGAATGAATGATAGTATGTTTTAAAAATATTTAGATTTATTTTATATGTTTTTTACAATTTTTTGTATTGTTTTATGTATTTATTACAAATTAAAATAATGATATCCTATTCGGTTATGCCTATTTCATTTATGTTCTTCTCCTTCCCTGAATGCCACAATCCCACAACTTAAAACCTACATGAGTAATCTATCATACATTCTCTCCAATTCATTTGTTTTCATGCATGCATATAATACCGTTGTTCCTTCTCATAACCTTGACTACCTCAAAGATATTCTCGTAAGAGTAACAAGGTACCATGTTCCAAAGCACAATCTAGAACTTCGTCTTGTATTCTTATCACCTTAAACTCCACCATGTCCTCACATATTTTATTTATGTTTTTCGAATTTTAACAAACTCGTAATTTTTTTTATTACTCATTAGTTATTACGTGTCAAAATTGGTAAAAAGACTAGATAGACGTGAAAAATGACTATATAGTTGACGTAAAAAGACTAGATAGACGTTAAAAAGACTAGATAGACGTGAAGGATGGTTTTTTAAAATAAATGTACTCATATGCTATTTTTAAGGCTTTTTCACACATAAACCTAAAAGGGAAAATAATATCATTTTTTTCAGTTTTCAATATTTTTTTCAAAAATAGTCAAGGTAAAGTTTTCCTTTCATAAACAGACCACGTGTACAACTAACGGCTGAACACCTATGGCATGAAAATATGGATTAACAAAGCGGGCCGTAGGCCTGCAGGCTACACCGGCAAAAAGAAGAGCTGGGAAGCAGCACCATAAGTAGCTTCGAAGTTCAAAGGTGGAAAAACAAAGCCAGCTTTCAAATTACTTCTCCAGCAACTTACTTCTTCCGATCCATGCATCAAAACAAAGCCATATACGAAGTATATGTGTGTATACATGCATTACATCACATATTTGGTTACATGAAACATTTATTTAAAAACTCTAAAACAATTTAGAAATAATAAAATACTACGTATAATGTATCTTTATTTTATATATTTCCATTTTTTTGCTCTTCCCTTTCATTGAAGTATTGACAAATCTAAGTAAACATGATGAAGACAATTTAAAATTATCAAACAACTTTTTTTAATTGTGCAACAACTAAACATTAAAAGGTTAAAATATTGTGAATACTTACAAACTTAAAAACATGTCAAACAATTAAAAAATTTTAAATATAAAACTCGAAACCGAAAATGTGAAAACTCATACGGAGTAATTTTTTGAAATTGTAGAAAATGACAAAATGTGTAAAAATGAACATATTTTAAAAATGAATTTTAAGATGCGATATTTTTGTAATTTATTATTTATCTACAATCACAATATTTAATTGATATTATTTTTATATTATATTACTAAACAAATGTATGAAGTTTTTATATAAAAACATATAGAAATATAGAATACTAAACACTATTTATAGAAAATGATGATAGAGTATATCTAGAGAGAAGTGAGAGCTAGAGAGAGAAGTGCAATAATATGCTTCAATAGAATGAATTTGTAACCCCTATAACTACTCCCAAAGGGAGTATTTATAGAGAAAGTTAGGGTTGGGCTCCCAAGTCTTGGGCTTGGGAGGCCCATTTACAACTGGACCGCTACTGGGCCGAATACAAAGCCACTAATGGGCTGTACAAATGAATAAGTGTAAAATCCGGTTCTGTGAGGTCTTCCTTGGCCGACGAGGGCGTGGCCGACGAGGGCACGGCCGATGAGGGCACGGCCGACGAGGGCACGGCCGACGAGGGCACCCGGGTTTCTTGGACTCAGGACCATAATCCGAGTTGGCCCCTTTCCGGCCGACGGGGGCGTCTTGGCCGACGAGGGCGCCACTCTGTTGTCTTGTGCTTTCTGTTCTTCTGAGTATGTGGGTCCGGGGGCTCAGACCCATATACTCCATCAGGAGTCCCCCACTCTCTAAGCTGAGACGTAGACGAAGTGAAGGAGAGTAGATTCCTGTGCTTTAGTGCTTTTGGCCGATGCGTGCATCCCCGGCGTTCAGCCGTTGCGGCGCTGGCGTTGTTTCCTCTTTGGTGATCCTGTTCTGTGCTTTGGCCGTTACCTGTCCCTCGATGTGGGCGGGGAGGCCGTTGTTTCCTTAAGGTGTTCATTTTGAGGACGATAGGTGTCTTGTTTCAATGGCAGCCGTTGAAAGGCACGTTTCGCTTGGGCGTTGATGGTTGAAGTTTGTGTTTGGGCCGATGAGGCCACTGAAGTTGATCCTTGCTTCGAGGACGATGGCGTCCTTTCCTTTGGGTGGCCGATGAGGGTGCTCGTGCACTCCTTTTGGCCGTTGTTGATGATGTCATGTGCCTCTGGCCGATGTGTCCATTGTGATGCGTGGACGATGTGGCCATGCTTTGTGGTTACATTCATGTTCTTTGCATTGTTGCTTTTTGTTTCGTTGAGGCCGATGTAGTCCCCCAGTCCCCCACTGCTTCAGGCCGATGTAGTCCCCCAGTCCCCCACTGCTTCAGGCCGAAGAGTGTGAGGGGTGAAGGAGTTGTATGAGTCCCTGGCCGAAGCGGTCTCTCCGTAGTCCCCCTGAATCCAACCCTCATGGCGATTTTCTGGCCAAGGTAACCCTGTGGGAGAACCCTTGTGCGCAGATCGCTTGTAGAGAGTTATCATCAAGGGTTAGTACGAGGAGCCGATGACTGTGGGCTTCTTTGTTCATTTTGTTCTGTGACCGGTATGGGTGTTTGTTACGTTCCTGGCCGTTACCGTCTCCTGGCAAGTAAATGGGACGTGGGCTCCTGCTGGTACTTGTGAAGCCGGCGCGTGTGTAGGCCGTAGAGTCTGCTTTGCTGGTGGGCTGATATTAGTTTTGGCCCGTTGGTGACGTGGTGGCCTCCCATTGGCGACCGCTGACGTGGCCATTGGGAGGGTGCCACGTGTAGTGACCGTTGGGTGGGGGGTTCTATAAATACCCCTCCCCCTCCGACGAGAAATCACATTTGCATTCTGAATTGTCGAAGTGCTGGCCATTTTTCTAGAGAGATAAACTCCCAAAGTTGTTCTTCGTGTTCTTCGTTGTTCAAGGTTAGTGTTCATCGCGATCTTCCTCACTTTTCATATTTTGCTTCCTAGAGTATTGATCTAGTGTTAGGCGTTTGAACACCCTTAGATCTTAAGTTAGTCTCCTTAGGCCCGTAGTAGTAGTTATGAAGAGCTTGAACGAAGATTACTACCCCTACGACGACCAGCCCTCTACGAGGTCACTTGATTATGAGGTGCTCGAGGAGTTCGAGGAGGAGATAGAGCATTTAAGTCCCTACAAATCCGAGGAGCCGGTGGACGAGGAAGGCGAGAACGAGGAGTCTGCCTCCTCTTCAGAAGGTGAGGACGTAGGTGCGTCCCGAGTGGTGGACGGGGCGTCCACTTCTACTGTCATTCCCTGCCCGAGGCCGGTGTCTGCCGTGAAGGGAGCAGTTAAGCCGAAGAGGGTGAGGAGGCCGAAGAATGGGCCGGAGCTCTCCTACCTGGATCTCACCAATATCTTTTTGATCAAGCCGGAGAGCAGTGCGGCCGACTATCTTGTTGCCCAGATGTACGTGGGGCCGTTTGGGCGGGTTAGGGCACCCAGGCCGACAGACCATGTTCTTCTTCCGCCACCGGGATACTTTGGGGTATACCCGATGAGTTTTGCTAAGGGGTTGAGGTTCCCCCTTCACCCCTTCATCGCTGAGTACCTGGACATGGTAGGGCTTTCTCCGGCCTTGCTGACGCCGAACAGCTACTCCTTGATGGTGGGGTTTCTGCTCCGGTGTGAGGAGCTAGGCTACAGGCCGACAACGGCCCTCTTCATGAATCTGTACCAGATCGGCCGAGGAAGCCACAAGAACTGTGCGGCCTATGCTACTCTTCAACAGCTGCCGAAGAAGAGGAGCTTCACGGACTTGCCTTCGTCCATTCATGGGTGGAAGAGCAAGTTCGTTTTCGTATCCCTGGGTGAGAGTGGCACCGAGTTCCCCTCTCTCGGCCATACCGGGAGGTTCAATCTCCATGACCCGCCGAAGAGCTCTATCTTGGACGCTCAGGTGGAGGCTTTCCTGGAAGGGGGGCCGAGGAGCGTGAAGGATTACGTTACTGAATATAAGATGACCGCCCTCGGCTTCTTCAGATACCATCTGTATGGCGATAAGGAGGATGACCTCCAACTCTGGCCGAGGATGACCACCACTTTTGAAGAGGCCGACGGCCCGGATTTGGGCATCCCTGCTGAGGCCGATGGTAATTCTCTCTTCGGCTTTCTGTCTTTATGTTTTGTCCTTTGCCTTACTAATCTGTTATGTTTTTCCTTTGTAGATTTTGCCATGGACCGGCGTTCCATAATGGCTATTGCCAAGGCCAAAGCGGCTGAGGAGCTGGCTGCTAAGGCGGCCGAGGCGGCCAGACGTGCCGCGGCCGGTGGGAGTGGGGCTACTACTGATGCGCCCCCAAGGCCTGCCCAATCGAAAAAGAAGAGGCCGTCCACTGACGGCCAGAAGAAATTAACTGAGGCCGGCCTGAACGTCTCCAAGAAGACGAAGAGGGCACCTTCTCCTTCCCCGGCTAGCGAGGCCGGTACTCTGGCTGTTCCCAGCATGGACGATGGTGGTCCCGTCGTGGACCTGACTGTTGCTGGTGATGCTGCCTCGTCGCTTCCTCTCGTCCAGGAACCGAGGACGAAGAGGGCCGGCAAGGAGATAGCCGGTGCCACCTACCAGAAGATGGTAGAATACCCCGTCGGCGGGGGTGTGTTCGATGATGTTGTCCTGGGGCACGACGTCCTGGCCCAGGCCATGCCGGCCAAAGATCGGGCTTACTTGAAGAAGCTCGGGGACGTTAAGATTTACGAGGGCGGCATGGACCTCCTCGTCCAAGTAAGTTACTTTCCCTTGTAAGTGACGTTTTTCTCGTCGTCCGTGTAGAATCATTTGCCTGAATTTTGTTTCCCTTGTTTCTGCAGAGTGCCTTCATGCTTATGGAGAGCCACAAGAGGCAATACCGAGAGATAGCTCGCTTGAAGGAGCTGGAGCAGAAGGCTGCCTCGGCCGACGAGGCGGTAGCTTGCCTGGACCGGCTCCGGGAGGATGCCAGAGCGTTGCAGGCCAGGGCCGATGAAGCCGCCGCAGCCAGGGACGATGCCCTGGCCAAGCTCGAGGAGAGCAAAAGGGAGCTCGAGGAGTCCCAAAGGGCCCTGGAGGCCGAGCGGCACAAGAGCGAGGAGGCCGTCAAGGCGAAGGCTGAGGCCGAGGCCGCCGTCGTGAGGGCTGCTGACGAGGCCGTCGAGAAGTTCCTTGCCGAGGGGTGGAAGGCCGATGAGAGGCTTCCCTGGTGCTACGGGGTGGTGGCCGCCAGGCTTGAGAGTTGGGGGATGAACTCCCCCGCCGGCCAGGAGTATTTCAGCCGGGAGATGTCCGTGTATTATAACATGGGCCAGGAGCGGATGCAAAGGCTCCTGTGTCGGCGGCTCTCTCGTGCTTTGAAAGCCATGAACTATACGTCTGGGTGGGCTAGACGGAACCTGAAGCTGCCGAAGCTGATGAAGGATCCAGAAGAGCAGGCAAAGCTTCCCTTGTCGGAGCGGGAGTCCCCAATTGAAAGCTCCGGCCTTGGCGAGCCGGATTACACTGAGTTTGATTTTTTGGACGATGCCACAAGTGCTGCAGCCACCGCCGGCCAGGAGGCTGAGGCCGAAGAGGGAGCAGACGAGGCCGAAGAGCCAGCCGCGGATGGAGGTGCTCCAGAGGCTTGATCGGCTACTCCTTTGTAGTTAGTTTTCATTTTTTCCCAAATGATGTAACGGCCGAAGAGCCCACCTTTGTATTGAATGGAATATAAATGAAATATTTTTGCTGTCCTGATCGGCTTTCAATTCCTTGTATGCTTGTTTTGCTATTTGTTATTTCAATTCTGAAATGTCTAAGTGTCAAGGTCATAACTTGGGTCACCCGCGAGTGTCCGCTACGTCCATGAGGTCGGCCTCCCTGTCCGGTGGCCTGGTCGGCCTATTCATCTTTGCCTTACTATCAGGACACTTAGGAATTTTTTCAAAAAATTTCCTAAGTGTTTTGATCCACTTAGTTGCTTTCTTCCCAGTCTAGTGGCTTGGTCGGCCTGACCGTCATTTCTGTACTATCACAACACTTAGGATTTTTTCCAAAAACTTCCTAAGTGTTTTGATTCTTGTAGTTGCTTCCCTTCCGGCCTGGTGGCCTTGTCGGCTTGACCGGTGTTGATGCAGTATCATAACACTTAGAATTTTTTTTTTAAAAAAATTTCCTAAGTGTTTTGGATCAGTGTCGTTGTCGGCCTACATCGTTGTTTTGTGGCCGATAAGGGTGCCCTTACCTTGATCTCTTTGAACTTAGAATTTTTCCTGAGTGCATATGCAGAGGCGGAGGTAGCTATCGGCCCTTGGGTATAAAGGTACCCGCTTCGTCCAGAGTTCCTTCATTTAAGTACTTGAGAATTTCCCAAGTATAGATGTAAGGCATAGTTGCTTCCTTGTGGTACCGCTGTCGGCTTGGAGGTGGCCCTACCCTCATCGGCCAAGGTCTGGCCTTATGGCCAATGAGGGGGGCCCTTGCTTTCCCGAGATGGCTCTACCTTCGTCGGCTGGCCATAGTTCCTTCTTGAGGAACCTTTTTTTTCTCAAAATTTTCTAAGTGTTTAGTAGATACTTGGACACATTCCCAAAGATATTTCAATTCAGCAACAGCCTAGGTTCTGGTGCCTGCATCGGCTATCCGGGGTGCTGTAGTAAGTGGGGATTGTTTTTGATTGCTTGATTCCTCCGTGGGTGTGATAAGTGCCCGCGTCGTCCTGGTCATACTCAGGATTGTGGTTCTTTGTTTCATACCAAGCGTTGGTGTTTCAAAGGACTGTGGCCGATGAAAGTCACCTGTCGCGTGTCACCCAACCGATGCGGTTAGGGTTTATAGGCATGTGTTTCGGCCTTGATCATTTCCTTGTGGTGCGTGGACGTGTCGTCCATGTTACCTGTCAGTGGTACTATACTTGTATTCAACTGATATGTACTTGGCCTAGTTGGGCCTGAGTTGTGGGGATTTTATTTTTTCATTGCTCGAGGCCGGCCAGTGTGCGCGGCCGTCGGCTTCCCTCTTTTTCCCTTGTATATTTTTTTTTCCGTTTCGGGGGGTATCCTTCTTTCAGGCTTCGGCCGAAGGGTGTGCTCGTCCTTCAGCCGGTTCGGACTTCGTTTATAACGTCCGTGATCTCAGGGCGGGTCCCGTCGCCTATTTATGACGCGAGCTAGACTTTTGGTCGGTTTCCAACGGCTGTCGTTGCCCATCCCTGAGTTTTGGGATTTTGTCACCTCGGCCATGATTTCAGGCTTGTCGTCCTGCGATCTGGCGCGTGGACGACGCGGTGAGCTTCCCGTTTCAAGACGTGGGCCGTTTGCGGGCCCCTCGTCCTGGGGACATCGTCGGCCATACCTGAGCGTTTCACTTCTAGGCTTACGGGGCCAGGACGATGTGCTCTCTCAGCTGGGTCTGAGCCCTTCGCTGATACAAAATACAATGGAGTGCCTGAGCTGGTTGCTCGTAGGCTTCAAATGCAAGGGGCCTCGTCGGCCATACTTGAGCCTTTCGCTCTAAGGTGGCCGACGGGGGCACCTGCTAATATTTTACTTTAAATTCCGGAGAAAAAACCAGAACATGATTTTATTCAAAAGTGGCTCGAGGCCGAGGGTGGCGTTCAATCAGTAACCCGTTAAGGGGTGAGGGCTTCGCCGTCTGCACCTCCTTCGGGTCACTGATAAACTTCACCAGATGGTGTACATTCCACGTTCGTGGTACATTGGACCCATTCGGGCGTTTAAGCTTGTAGGTGCCGGGTTTGACCACGGCACTGACGATGTAGGGCCCTTCGTACTTCAATGCTAGCTTGCCACCCTCTGTCGGCTGGCTTGCTTCCCTTCGGCGGAGGACGTAGTCCCCCACCTGAAATTCCCGGGAACGTACCTTGGCGTCATAGTATGATTTTACTTGACGCCGGTAGTTCTCTGCTCGGACGTAAGCTTGTTCACGCCTCTCATCAACCAGGTGTAGGTCAATCTTCATGTTCTCTTCGTTGGTGTCAGACTCATATTATTCCACCCGTCGGCTGGGGATGGCAACTTCCGTGGGCGCCTTTGCTTCAAAGCCGTAGCACAGGGCGAAAGGCGTTTCACCTGTCGCCCTCCTCGGCGTGGTTCTGTAGCACCACAGGATGTTGGGGAGCTCGTCGACCCAACTGCCTCCTGCGGCCTGGAGCTTCTTCTTCAGCCCCTCCATAATTGTTCTGTTAGCGTTCTCGACCTGCCCGTTGCCCTGAGGGTAGGCAACGGAGGAGAAATGATGCTTTACCTCAAACTCCCGGAGGAGTTCTTGGAAAGGGGCTGCCTCGAATTGGGTGCCGTTGTCTGATATAATCTCCTGGGGGACGCCAAAGCGTGTGATGATGTTCTTGTAAACAAATTTTTGGCATCTGGCCCCCGTGATGCTGGCCAAGGGTTCCGCCTCAACCACTTGGTGAAGTAGTCGACGGCGACGATGATGTAACGGTTATTCCCGACGGCTCTGGGCAGGGGGCCGACCAGGTCAATCCCCCATCTGGAGAATGGAATTGCGGTGCTGACAGGGGCATAGTTGACAGCTGGCCGACCAGGGGCCTTCTGGAGTACCTGGCATGTGGTGCACTTCCTGGCCAGGTCAGCGCAGTCGCGTGCCATCGTCGGCCAGAAGAAGCCCTGGACGACGAGACGCCGGGACATGCTGAAAGGGCCCTGGTGTGAGGAGCAGACGCCACAATGAACTTCTTCCATGGCTGTGTCGGCCTCGTCTTGGTGCAGGCATCGGAGGAGAGTGCCATTATAGGACCGTTTGTAGAGTTTGCCATCTTCAATGGTGTAGCTTGGGGCCCTGAGTTTGGCAAGTTTGGCCCTCTCCTCGTCCGGGGGCAGCTCCCCCGTTGTGATGAAGGTGACGATGTCGGAGATCCAGTCCTCTGGTCGCTGTTGGACGCATAAGACGGGGCTGGCATGGATACTGGACATGCTCAACTCTTCGATCTTGGCCAACTGGGAGATGTGCTCCGGGGTGTCCGAGCTGAGCTTGGAGAGGATGTCGGCTTCGGCGTTCTCGGCCCTTGGGATCTGAGTGATCTCGTGGGTTTCAAACGCTTTCAGCAACTCCTCCGCCGCTTGTTTGTACTGCTTCATCCGGCCTTCCTTTGCTTCGTACGATCCCTCCACCTGGCCCACTACCAGTTTGGAGTCGCACTTGATTTTGAGGTGCTTGGCCTTGAGGCCGGCGGCGAGTCTGAGACCGCTGAGGAGGGCCTCATACTCGGCTTCGTTGTTGGATACCCTGAAGTTGAAGCGGATGGCATAGTAAGCTCTGAATCATTCAGGGGATATGAGGACGACGCCGCCGCCGCATGATTTCGCGGCCGACGAGCCGTCAGTGAACAGGGTCCATGTATCGTCCTGTTCCGGCCCGGGGTTGGCGACGGCCGTCTCCCTTGCTGTGCATTCGATGACGAAGTCGGCCAAGGCTTGCCCTTTGATGGATGGCCTTGGCTTGATCTCAATTTGAAATTGGCTGAGGAAAATCGCCCATTTCACCATCCTAGAGGAGCTGGTGGGGCTTCTCATGAGTGCGCCGAGAGGTTGCTGGGTCAGTACATGGACGGCGTGGGCCTGGAAGTAGTGCCCCAGCTTCTTCACCGTGTGGACGATGGCCAGCACCGTCTTCTCAACGGGGGAGTACCTGAGCTCGGCCTCCCTGAGTGTCTTGTTGATGTAGAAGATGGCCTTCTGCACCCCTTCGTCCTCGCGGATGAGCACGGAGCTGATGGCCGACGTGCTCACCCCTAAGTACAAGAAGAGGGTTTCGCCGGCTTTGGGCTTGGAGAGCACGGGTGGGGACGACAGGTACCTTTTCAATTCGTCGAATGCTTCCTGGCACTCCGTCGTCCACTTGAAGCTGTTTGCCTTACGCATGATCTGAAAGAAGGGGAGTGCCCTCTCGGCCGACCTGGAGAGGAAACGGTTCAGGGCCGCCAGGCGCCCCGTCAGTCGTTGTACTTCCTTGACGTTACGGGGCGGCTCCATGTGG